GCTGAGAATGCGAGGTGGTGGTCGCGAATGAGGAGGGCGAAGGGGATTTTGAGGGATTTTATACCCCCGGAGGCGGGGGCTGAATCCCGTCGATCTCAGACACTCCAGAATCCCGGGATACGGGTGAGGATCGACGTGACGCGTCAGTCAGGACAACTTGGGCGAGGATCGACGTGACGGTGTGTCGCGGTCGGGCGTAGCACAGAAAGCGCCCACGATCTCGCGCGGCACGATCACGTGGTGTCGTGGACTTCGCGTTTTCGACGCGTCGCACCGCATACACTCACTCTCCCGCCCATCCGTCAGGCACCATCCCCATCCTCCCTCTCCCCGTGCACCTCCCACCTGATCCTCTCATGGACTCCACATACGCCTGCAACAGCTGTGGCGACACCTTCAACACCGCGATAGGTCGCGGTCAGCACATGCGAACGTGCGGACAACGCGTAGAAGACGCCGCCGCTCACCTCCGGAAACGCAAGGCAGTTCTGGATGCACGGGCGGAAATTGACGCGCAGGAAAATGAGAGAAAACGCAGACGAGAGGATGGCAATGAGGAGGAGGAGGAGGAAGGAGAGGAAGGAGCAAGTCTGAGCGTGCGTGCACATCTTCGTATACTGCACACGTATGCTGACACTCCCACCAGGTCCGCAATCCGTCATCACCGGTGGTCGACGGTCATCCGGAGCCGCGTGAGCCCAGCCCACCCCCACCGGCACCAGTTCCCCCTGTGCGGCTCACACGGGGTGGTCGTCCCATCAGACTACCAGGCCACTGGGTTGACTATGTCCCATCGTGTCGGGAGGACCTCCCGTCGCAGATTGCTGATGCATTGCCCGACCCCCCACCCGTACCTCCATCTCCTCCTGTGGCTCTGCCTGCACAACCTCCCCACAGACCCTCAAAGGTGCTCGAAATGCAGCCGGACATGTACGGCGTGTATCACCAGTACCTCAATCAGCCACAACGCCAGCCTGCTCCGCCGGCAGCAAAGGCATTTTACGACATACTGCCACCCGCTGATCCGGAAATCAACCCGACGGACTATCCCAACATCCGGTGGATGCACCGGCCGGAGATGCAGGATACGCCGGTATCGCCCTACGGGCTGTTCAAGGCAAAAACTGTTTACTTGTTATGTGAATGGTTCTACAACAGCGCCAACACGAAATCCCTGGACGACCTCGACGCGCTCGTACAGATCTTGACCACATCTGGCTTCAAGGTATCCGACCTCGCAGACTTCCGCGCCCGGCGGGAGATGAAGCGTTTGGATGACTATGTCAGCCCATCAGGCGTGTTTTCCAAGGAGGATGGATGGATGGAAGGCGAGATAACCTTGCCGTTGCCGAAGCCCGGGGTTCATCACAACTCAGAAGCTGACGCGCCCTCGTTCACGGTGGAGGGCATGTATTTCCGCAAAATTATCGAAGTCATCATCAGCGAGGTACAGGACAGACACTTCTCCGAGCAGCGTCATTGGCTCCCGCACAAGACATTCTGGAACCCACCTGGGGACTCGGCGGGAACCCCATCGGACGAGAGACAGCCGTCCACACCGCCATCGGCAGACAATCAACCCCACTCACAGGGCGGCCACGGCATGCCGCCACCCATTCGCGTGTTCTCTGAGACTTACAACTCCGACGCCATGAACCAGGAGTATGCCAAGCTTCGTTCACGCCCACGCAATCCTGACGACGCCCCCTCCGTCGAGTACAACATTCTGCCCATCGTCGCCTGGTCTGATGCGACGCTGCTCGCTCTGTTTGGCTCGGCCAAACTCTGGCCAATATACCTCTATATCGCAAACATCTCGAAGTATATCCGTGGAATGCCGACAGAGTTCGTCGCACAACATGTCGCATATATACCTGAGGTGAGCCATTATGTGGCATCTTTATGTCGTGGAGACGACGAGACCCCTATATTTTTCCGCATTTTTCCTTATTTTCTACGGCCATTCGTACGACACTTAGACTTAGAACCAGTAGTTAGAAGCATGTGACCAGTCACCTGACCCCACCTGCAGACTGGCACTAATGTGCGCACAGACCACCTTTACGTTTGTACATGTTTGGCTCCCCTGACTCAGTATATAAACCCCACCTGTAGCGACCCTAGCCCTCATCTTGACCTCTTGGTCCTTGGGCTAGGTAAGCCGTCCTTTGTATTCTCTTAGTCAGCATAATATTAACTTGGTCCTTGGGCTAGATTTGACTTGAAAGTCTACGCTCGGCGTTAGCAAGCCTTCGCGCTCGCCGCCCTTGGGTTAGATCGT